ACAATCCAAGATGGCTTGTATGCTGCATAGTGTTTTACCTCATGGGAGTGTAAGTGGCAGCTCTGGGACAATCCTTTTCTAAGCTACTAAAATGCTCAGGAGCACACACTGACTTACTGTGATCATAACTGAGTTCCAAGTGGAGGAAAAGACATCAGTCTCATTATTCCCTTGATAGTGTTTCTTTAGCTCCTTGGTGAAGAACTCTCTGGTCAGCTGAAATATAGAAAATTAGTAGAAAAAGAGAAGATGATTGCCAGCACCATCATTCTTGTTGTACCCATTCCTATATTACCAATCTAGCTGTAGAAACAAGTTTCTATGCAGTTATCCCCCAGAGAAGGAAACTCCAAAGATGGTCTAGTTTTGGTAAGTTCCCAGAATACCAGTTCCACATCCTTCAAGGACATGCACTGAATCCGCCCTCCTGCAAGAAACTAATGGACTGATCCTCTGAGATCTTCTACTTAGCACCTCCTGGAAAGTGCTAAGCACCCTCAACTCCCATGGATTTCAGTGAGAACTGAGGATGCTCAGCTACTCCAAGAAGTTCTTGCAGGATTAGGTTATAAAAAATTTGAGCTTTAATCCAAACCACAACTGTAAGTAGGCATACAGATGTATCCTGCAAGTTTTAACACCTAATCTGATGTCCCATGAAGTAAACTAGGCTCTTTCCATTGACTTCAATAGAGGCTAGTTTGGGTTCTTAAAGCATTTAAATTGGAAAGCTCATTACGTGTGCCGGGGTTAGGTGTCAGCATGTGTATGCTGTACGCAAACTTTGGAAACCAAGGAGCATGATACTCACTCTGACTGGGTGTGTGGGGCAGGGAAGCGGAGCTTTGTGACTGCAAATACTGATTTATATGTGAGTATGCTGAATGAACCCCTCCTTTATTCATTGTGTAACTGCAGCCAGTAAAACCTTGCTGACTTTTGCCTCCTCATTCCTTGCAGCTTTAGTTTCAAGGTAAGTAGTGATGTCTTTATAACTTATAGATGGAATATTGACATCTCAAATACACTGACCTCTACTTTAACCATATCCATGCTGAATGCAACTTGCGTATTAAAACCACTGATTAAAAATAACTAAAAAAATCCAAGATTAAGGTATATGTAGGTAGTTTAAAGCTAATATTCACTTTTATTTATTTTTTTCATAAGGGCCTATTGGCGACTTGGATGAGGGAGTGAAGTGTACTCTGTTCAAGTTTGCGGATGACACAAAACTGTGGGGAGAAGTGGACACACCGGAGGGCAGGGAACAACTACAAGCAGACCTGGACAGGTTGGACATATGGGCAGAAAACAACAGAATGCAATTCAACAAGGAGAAATGCAAAGTGCTGCACCTAGGGAGGAAAAATGTCCAGCACACCTACAGCCTAGGAAATGACCTGCTTGGTGGAACAGAAGCGGAAAGGGATCTTGGAGTCCCAGTGGACTCCAAGATGAACGTGAGTTGGCAGTGTGATGAAGTCTTCAGAAAAGCTAATGGCACTTTATCATGCATCAGCAGATGCATGACGAACAGATCCAAGGAGGTGATAATTCCCCTCTATCGGGTGCTGGTCAGACCGCAGTTGGAATGCTGTGTGCAGTTTTGGGCGCCGCACTTCAAGAGGGATGTGGATAACCTGGAGAGGGTCCAGAGAAGGGCCACTCGTATGGTTAAGGGCTTGCAGGCCAAGCCCTATGAGGAGAGACTAGGGCACCTGGACCTCTTCAGCCTCCGCAAGAGAAGGTTGAGGTGACCTTGTGGCTGCCTATAAGTTCATCATGGGGGCACAGAAGGGAATTGGTGAGGTTTTACTCACCAAGGTGCCCCTGGGGGTTACAAGAAATAATGGCCACAAGCTAGCGGAGAGCAGATTTAGACTGGACATTAGGAAGAACTTCTTCACAGTTAGAGTGGCCAAGGTCTGGAATGGGCTCCCAAGGGAGGTGGTGCTCTCCCCTACCCTGGGGGTCTTTAAGAGGAGGTTAGATAGGCATGTAGCTGGGGTCATCTAAACCCAGCACACTTTCCTGCCTATGCAGGGGGTCGAACTCGATGATCTATTGAGGTCCCTTCCGACCCTAACATCTATGAATCTATTAATCTATTTAAAGAGAAATTGTCCAGGGCATAATTGTCTTCTGACTTACATCAGTATCCTTCTCCACTGACTTTCGTGGAACTACTGCAAATCTTCTCCAGAATCAGGCCCGTCTATTAAATCCCCCTCCCGTTCTCCTACTCCCTGCTTTTGGCCTTACCTCTTGCTGTCCATACCACTCCCGGCAAGCGGAAAATACCTGCATGTGCTACACCTGATTCAAGTTTAGATGGCGTAAACTAAGCCACCTAAACCTGGAATAGTGGTTCGCACCAATAAGTGTCTTTCTCTAAAATCTCAGACCTGAATTCTAATCCAGACATCTGAACTAGTGCAGAGCACTACTGAAGTCCACAGGACTCAACCGGGTATACAATCTACTCCAAATTGTATATTGCTAGGTGGCAATCTTCAAGACTGTAAGCTCTTTGGGAAAGCAATAATTTTTTTTTTAGTGAATTCTGCAGTGCCAAATATATTTCTGATATGAAACTACTAATAATGCATACTATTAAACTTAGCAGAAAAAGTAGCTTCACTTTCAGGTTCTTAATATGCAATGTGTGGGTTCCAAACAACGCAGGGACTTATATATTTCTTGAAAAATCAATTGGTTCCTTTAGAACTTTGTTACAAGAATTAATGGAAACTTTAAATGTAATCCCTGTTCCATGGAAATGCTGCCATTTTTTTTCCAAAGGGGCCAGAATGCCACCTTGGTTTTTTTTTTTAAACTCATTTTATGCATTTATTTAGCCTTACAGGTGTTTTTAGACCTGTTTTTACAAAACGTAAATTGACACAGAGTAACATTTTCAAATACTCATAAAAGACTTAAAAGTTTAAATCGACTGACTTCAAATGAGGTAGTTTCTGAAGTGCCTTAGTCATTTTTTGAAAAAAGACTTAGGCAAAGTTGCATATATGATTTGAGAAGCTGAATGCTATCAGTCAGACAAGACATGGATTTCACCCTGAGCGATCAGTACATTAGGGAACAGTGAGTTAGACAGGACCCAGACATATGGTTGGCATTCTTCGCTCCTGCCCTTCTTTCGCATAATTTACCCACCCAGATCCCCACCCTGCAGAGCCAGCAGCACAGACTTTTTATTGATGCATGTCTATTTCCTAAATGCAGACTTTGAAACTAATATTACCGTTAGTGAAAATCCCAACTGGCTGCCTTTGGCCCAGTCTAAAACAAAAGAGTCATTTGAATATAAAGTGAAACCTTTATTTTGACAGCAGCCATCCCAGAGGAAATTGGTTGGAGTTTGTGTGATTTTTACGAGACTTGGCCTAAAACAAAGCCCAGAGCTGGAAGGGTCTGTTTGCCAGAAAAATAACCAATCTTCCTTTGTTGCTGTTAAACTGCAGCATGTCCCAAACATCTGAAGTTCAGAAAAAAATGTCAAAATTGGGCTGCACAAGCTGCTTTCTTCTTTAAGGAAAATACATACACACACAGGATAAAAGTCAGCAAGGCGCCACACAGAAAGGGAAAAAAAGAATATGCGACCAGGAATGATAATGGAGCTGAAGACATTAATGGCTTAAAGGGCAAGAGGTAAGGCTCAATGATGGAGCTAATCTAAACATCTCAGTCACAGGAGTGAAGATGTGTGATCCCTGACAGACATAGCTATGCTAGCAGAAAACCCAACTAGAGATAAAGTCACACTGGCAAAAATGTGTTGCTACTGCTAAAACTAGTGAGGTGGCTTTCCTATACTGGTACAAAGCAGCCATGTCAACTGAAGGAGAACCTTGTCACCATAGCCTGTTAATATTCCTAAATCAGCAAGTGCTCCTTGCAAAGACAGTCTAGCAGTCTTTCTTCCATACTGTTTGTCATCTATGAAGCTCTAAGTGATTTATAAAGACAAGTAATCATCGTATTTCTTTTTCCTTACAGCTGATGTAACTGAGGTACCAAGAGCAGATGTGACTTGCCCAAGGTCACTCAGAAGGTCGGTGGTAGAGTTGGAAATAAATTCCAATAATCTTGACTCCCATCCCTGCTCCCTCCGGTGTGCTTCTTTCCTGTCCAATGTGTGAATTTACTGATCCTCTCAGATAGGTTCTAATCTAACACATCAAAACTAAGCCCAAAGACATTTTGAAGAGAATGAATGAAACTCTTTCACCAGAAGACAGTCCAGGTGAAAGAGTTAGTCTCGCCATCACACTAAGGGCTGTCTTAAAACAAAGAAGAAGAAAAAAACCAACAACAAAAAGCCTTTTTGTGCTTCTTTCAGTTGGGCCTCTGAGGGGCCAAGAAGGAGCTGGCCTTGGTTTGGACTAAGTTTCTCCCTTGGTATCTTGTTTATGGAAGGAATTCAAAGTGAAATAACCACCATCCTGTGAAGCAGAGCCCTGCACCTCAAGAAAACTCCTTCCCTTGGAGGAACCTTTGACACTGAACTGCACAGGTGTGAAGAACAAGTATGATTGATTGCATCCATTTCAAGCGTTCACTTCAACACAGCTCTGTGTCCTGCTGGACTGATGGAATATGTTTCTCTACCATCTTACTTCAGTCACTCCATTTCCTCTTTATCTCCTTTACACAGTTTTCACCAGAGTCGACCTTTTCCTTTGCTGTGCTGTTATTTGCAGCACCCCTCTTCCCTCTCTTTGCATCACTGACTCTACATCTCATTTCTAATCTCATCAGAAAACACCTCTTTTTTCCCCCTGGTCTCTGTCTCTTAACCTCCTTTTTCTACCTCTGCTTTTAATTATTAAACTTTGCAACTGTATTATTTAGCTCTGTAGAGTGGTGTGGGAGATAGTGTGTATGTTAGATGCTGTACTAGATAACGTGGTATGGCACTATCTGGAAAGTGAGCAGTTGCAACCTATCTGTTACTTCTATCTCTTCTGTCTAGAGAACATGGCCATGTAGTGCAGGACAACTATAATAGTAACATTCAAATGAAGGAGCGTCTGTGAAGCAAGGTGCACACATCCACATTTAACACTGCAACCTGGAGAGTAATTTCACTCGGTAGCGTTATAAAATGCAAATCTCCAGGTAACATTTTAATCACTTGTTGCTGCAATCAGTTTTTTTTTAACCTCATTGACTTTACATCTCTGAGTTATCTTGCACAGCCCTCATGTCTGGGAGGAGAAAAAAGTGTGTTTCAGCACAACTAGGTAATCTATATACTTCATCCAAATATTGATTCAAAGTCAGATCAAACCTTGTCCTTTTGGTAGACACACTGTCCAGCCAGCCAGCTCTGGGCCAACCCATACACGATAGCAAAATGAGTTACAAATATTGACTAAGCTACAAACTGAGGCTATTTAAAATATACAACAACACAAAATACCTAGGCTTTGTTCCAAAGGAGCAAGGGAGGAACAAAACCAGAAACCTCACACGCATGAACAGGGCTGTTTCCCAGTGACTTTGTGTCTGTGGATAGAAAATGATAGAGCTTCTAAGATTCTTCACATCTTTCATTCATAAACTACAGAAGGAGGAGGTCCAACTTAAAAAAATAAAGGATTCTACAAGGTTTTTCTTATCAGCTGGCTGTTCTGACATGGGGTTTCATTTAGCTCTTGTGACTTGATATAGAGTTCTCTCTTAAATTTTAACATCCTAAGCCCATTTGAAGAGAGTGCTTTGTGAAATAACCAGCTAAGGACTTGCTCTTGCAATTTACAGCATGTCTTCAACTTCCCATGACTTCAGTGGACATTGAGGACACAGCTGCCTTGAAAGATCAAGTCCTAAAAAGGATACAGAAATAATGACAAGCCATGGCAGAAGTAATCCCCCACTACTGACATTAATGAATTACACAGGCCCAGTAAATGGAAGAGGGCAGCTAAGGACCTGGTTGTACACTTGGAACTAACAATATGGGCAGTGGGGCATTTGCCTTATAGATTCATAGATGTTAGGGTCGGAAGGGACCTCAATAGATCATCGAGTCCGACCCCCTGCATAGGCAGGAAAGGGGTAGGGGGAGAGCACCACCTCCCTTGGGAGCCCGTTCCAGACCTTGGCCACTCTAACTGTGAAGAAGTTCTTCCTAATGTCCAATCTAAATCTGCTCTCTGCTAGCTTGTGGCCATTATTTCTTGTAACCCCCGGGGGCGCCTTGGTGAATAAAACCTCACCAATTCCCTTCTATGCCCCTGTGATGAACTTATAGGCAGCCACAAGGTTGCCTCTCAACCTTCTCTTGCGGAGGCTGAAAAGGTCCAGTTTCTCTAGTCTCTCCTCGTAGGGCTTGGTCTGCAAGCCCTTAACCATATGAGTGGCCCTTCTCTGGACCCTCTCCAGGTTATCCGCATCTCTCTTGAAGTGTGGTGCCCAGACTTGAAGTGCGGTGCCCTTCATGAGAGCTCCTGGACTGCATCACATTTACACCTGCAGACCAGCAATAACTCCATGGAGGTAATCAAGTTACAGTGATTTAAGCAAAAGGAACATCAGGTCCGCATATGTTTGTCTAGGCGCTGGTGCCTCTTTTCTAGTTTGCCATATGAAACTATGAAACTATATTGTGTTCTGGATCTGGGTACAGTCAGTCTCCACAAGCTGTCTCCTGCTTACCCCAGAGCCTACTAACTAGTGATTTAGTTATCTGTCCCCTGTGAAGATAAATCTGGGGGAGCAATATCTAATTCTGCATAAGAGTGTGTGTGTGTGTGCGTGTGCGTGTGTGTGTGAAAGAGAGTGAGAGAGAGACAAGGAGAGGAGGTTGTAGGTGGGGGAGGAATTGTTTCTATGTGTGAGGTCCACTTGTGAAAGAATCCTCTAAAGAACTCTCAGCGCAATGGCTGCATTGACCAGACCACATCAGACCCCCCAAGCTGCAACTTCTATTTAGAGCTGTAACTATTCCCACTAAGAGAGCGTCTCACTCATTTTGAATGGAGCATCCATGCTGTTTACAAAGCACTGCTCATTCCCAACTGTTTAAGTGTGAAGCAGAGATATGAAGACCACCAGGTTATAATGAAAAAATTCCACTCTCACCCCCTGCCTGCCTCCCCATTGACCATCCTACTGTACAAACACGGTATTGTTTTGGTATCAACTTTCTAACTCTTCTGTCTCTCCTTGTTTATAAAATTCTTATACAGATAAAATACAGCTTGGCTGGAGTAAATCAAAACTAGGTCATCATACTGCAAGGTCCTTCTGTGCACACTTGCTCAGAAGTTTTTGCTATATTCAGTATTGGGCTGTGATGTATGTGTAACTAGAAGGAAAAGTCAGAAAGTAGATGAAGAACCAATAGTAAGAATATAGATCAAGGAAAATAAATATCATAAACCAATGACTGGCTATATATAGCCCATTATGAGCTGACAGGTTTGTTAATGAATAGCAAAAAAGATTTTAACTTGAGGAGGGAGTTGAAGTGGAGCAGAATTTTTCCCTTACAGAATAACTGTGAGGATGTTTTATGCACAAGAGGGGACATGAAAGACACTTGTGGGAGAAAGGCTGAGTGGACTGGGAATATGGAGGCTAGGTACAGACATTCACGCTGGAGGGGGGCAACTTTTAGACAGGGTTGTGCCATTTTTAAACCAGCCTATGTGTGTCGAACTTCTGTTCTGTTATGAGTATGGACCAGTTTCCGATCACTTATACTAGTAAAAGTGTAATGTCTGTACCTGGCCTGACAGAACAGAGGAGGTAAAGGGTTGTGCAATGAGATGCATGGCAGAGGTGTAGGGAGGGGCTAAAGTCCTTTAGGGTACAGGTAAATAGGAGCCTTAGCTTATCAATAAATGAACAAAGTATGCGAGTTAAAAGGGGGGTGAAAACTTCCCACAGAGCAGCTGATGTGTGGTAATCATCCATATGCCTGCATTTGCTCTGTGATAAATGGAAGCTAAAACACAGCCAAGTTGCTCTGGGTTAACGTCACTTACCAAAAGCTAAGAGCAGATAGGTGGAGAGCTGGGTCCCCACCCCCTTTCAATCTTCTATATGTTGTTTTACATTCATACTCTTAGAGGTAAGAACTCAAATGTCTCTCTACATGTGCTATGGGGAAAGGATCAGTGGAGAAAATCAGAGATGGAGGGAGGAAGGGCAGTGTGGTAGGAGGCAAAAAAACAGACCAGAAGGGCGAGCTTAAAAACAATGAGCCTGGAAGGTACAAAGCGATTGTCAGAAAAGCCTGGGAGAAGGTCAAGGTGAGAGGGAATGAAAACATGCACAAATTTTAGGAGCATGGACAAAGCAAGCAGTGGAGGGCAAGGTCTTTCAACATAGGTATCAGCATGTGCTACATCAAAAATGAAAGAAGAAAGATACTTTGAAGATAACTTTACTGTAAAACTATTTTTTTATGGGGATGTGTATCTGGATAACTTCTGATACAATGATTTGCCTGCACGAGAATATGGACTCTGAAAATCTTCAGGAGTTAAGTACTCCCTCAGCATATCACCTGTGTATATAAGCCATCTACCTGGCACAATTCAGGTTAGTTTATATTCACTGGCTGCCTGGAACTTCTTCAGACTGAGGGTAACAATATTGATGGTTCATTGATATTCTAAAGAAACACTCGCTCAACAGACACATACATGACCAGCTAAAAACTGAGCTCCACCTGGGCACGGCTAAATCCCACAGGGACTCAGAGCGCATCTAGCATGTCCACAACAGAATACTTACATTCTCTCTGAAGATAAAAGCCAGGATTGCAGCCGAGAGCTCTGCCAGGAAGATTAACAAAATAAACATGAAGAACTGGAAGAAAGAGAAAAAAATAAGAAGAGGCAGATGGGCCATTAGATATGTGCTACAAACAGCAGGAACACAGGTTTGAAAAGTCACCAAAGGGATGGATAAAACAGAATGAATTTGGTGTTGTTTTTGTTGTTAGTTAAAGGGTACAAAAATTAGGGAACAATTTACAGCTGGTGCATAGGCAGGATCTGTATGGTTGCAATATACTGGTTTAGAAACTGGTGTAATTCAAGAAGTAATACTCTTGTGATGACAAAGGCAAACTGGTATAATGCTTCTTGAATCAGGGTAACTTATTTCTATAAATTTAGGGGATATATGTAACATGTAACATACCATACACACACCACTGCCACCCTTCTATAACACAGCAGAATATTTTAACTACCTTAGGTGGTCGAACAGCTTTAAATACACTGATTTCTACATCAGTGTAAAATGTTATAAATACTGTGTATAGACCAGTCCTCGAAAGGCCAAATTCCAAAGCTGTAACTTAAGAAAACAGCTACAGAAGTCAAGGGGCTCAGCATGTAAAGACATAAAGCCTGATATCTGGTATAGTGCATGGTTCTGGCAGGGTACCACAGTCCCAAAGTAAGCACAATGGACAGTATAAATTATACACACTTCTGAGACACTGTATCAGTTACATAAAGCCACTTCTGTGCAAAACTGAGAATCAGGTCCCTTACAATTTAAATCCCCAAGACTTGCCCCATTGATACAAAAGAGAGTCTATTAGAGTGAGGACTTCATGATGCCTTCACAGTTTGGTCCCACATAAGTGAGGTGTAAACAGTGAACTCAGGCAGGACTGCATCACTCAGAGGGTAACAGACATGTGGAATAAGCAGCCCATGAAAGTAGCTGGAGCAATAAGAAATGAATTCAAGAGACAACTGGATTTATTTCTGTGCAAGGGGAGTATTGAGTGTTTCTCATCAGCTTTTTCTAATTCCAAGACAATCTTGGAATGGTAATATCAAGCTTTGGTAATATAGCTTTATATTAGCAAAAGCTATTGCTAATACCTGAGCACCAAAACCTATGCTCAGGTATTAGCAATAGCTTTTGGTAATATAAAGAGAATTCAAATTCCCTGGCTGGAATGGGCAAGCCATTTTTTAATATATCATTTATTAAATCTGAAGACAGTTTTTCCCACGGAAAGGTTGCAGTGACTGGTCTTTTGCTCTCCCTTTCCGCTCTAGGAGCAGGAAGCAAAATAAAGGGAACCAGGGCTCAGATGACAAAAACAGGAAGGTTTAAAGAAGCAGGATTTATATCTCATAATTCCTGCTGGGTGATCCACTGGTTCATTTACCTTAATAATCTGTTCTTATTGTCTGAGACTTCTGAATGTCTCAGTCACTCTTCTCATTCAGAAATTGTTTCTATTTTTTAACCTGACAAGGGGACATGAAACAGTAAATGATACTTTGCAAATCTGTAGCATCACCCTTCAGAGGATCTCAAAGCACTTATAAATGGTTTATGGTAGTGATCCATGATGAATTCAACCATGCTGCTAATTATATATTCATTTACTGGTGGATGCACTTTCATCTAGACACTAGCGCAGGGCCAGCATTGCAATGGATGCAGCTGCTTAGACTTTCTAAATCAGGGGTGCCAACCCCTGGGCTGCTGGCCGGATCCAGCCCCCAGCGATGTGTAATCTGGCTCATAGGGTTCTCCAGGGGTCTGGATATTTGGCAATGGAGGAGCACCACTCCTCTGCTGCCAAATTTCCAGACCCATGGGGAACCCTAGGCCCTGCACACTAGATTGGGCACCTGATTCTGGTGCATGGAGATGAGCAGGGGCAGTGCAGGCCATCTGAGCCTGATCACCAGGGATCCAGGTTTTTCATGTCCCACAGAAAAATGGAGCAAACCATAAATTTTACCTTTTACCAGAGGTAAACATGGATTTCTCATTTTGCTGGAGAAACCTGTCGACTCTGCAATTTTGGGATAAGCCCTCTGCAGGCTGGCAGAGATCCAGCCTTCAAGGGGGTGGGGGAGTGGGAAGAGGCCAGTCAGGCAGGGGGTCCCATGTGCAGATATATGCACATGGCCTCAGGCAGCCTGGACAGCAGCTTCTGCAGGTAAGATGGCAGGGAAAGGGGATTGAGGCCTCCATAGGGATCATGGTTTTCTCTGTTCAAAACCCACAAATTCTCTGATAACCCCTCCCCCCCCAACCTGCAAATTCTCTGATTAAAAACCCCAAAATCTGCATTTTTCCATGATTAAAATGAAACACCACTATGTGTGTGTATATATATATATATATATAGGTATCAGTTGAACACAATGTTTTATTGATATATTTACAATTTTTAAGCAATTTGGAAGCCTACCAGTGCCTCACTCACTATAATAAGATAAATTCTAAATACATATACATTTTGGCATTTGATTTGGGGCTTTTTTTATCATGGAAAATCAGAGCTCCCACTGCCCCCTTCACTCACCAGGATGTGGGTCCAGCTCTGGCTGTCCCTCCTCACTCCTCACTGCTTTGTGGTTGCTGAGCAGCCCTGATATGTCAGTGCCTTGCCCATGCCATTGCCCCTCACTTCCAAACCACAGCCCCCCCATCCATGTTGGTGCCCCTCACTAGCCACCCACAGCCCCCTGGACCTGCTGGTGACCCTCACTCCCCATCTAGAACTCCCTCCTCCCCAGCCCTGCCAGAGGGTGCCTCCAGCTGCCAGGGCTACACAACAGAGACCCAGGTCCTCAGCCTCCTGCCCCGCTGCAGCAGTGGAGCAGAGCCCAGCTCCCGCCCCCCCAATGTCTGGCTGAAGTGGAGCCCATGGCAGGTGGAGGAGTGCAGATGCAGGCTTGCTGTGGGCTCGGGGCTCCCCACCCAGCTGCCCTCCCTCACCCAGCTGCTCAGCTTCTCTGCCCAGCTGCCCTCCCCACAGGACCTCCATGGCCCAGTGGGCAGGACCTCGCACAGCAGATCAGAGTGAGGCAGGGAAGCTTGATGCTGCTGCTGCAAGCCCCGCACTGCCATAGCAAAGCACCCCCTGCCTGCCCAGCAGCAGTGTGGGGACAGCACAGAGCTGTGCCCCTAGCTATAATAACTCAGTGCTGCCCCCCCTGCTATTGCCAGGCAAGCAGGGAGAACTCTGCCAGGGTGGTGCAGGGCTCACAGCAGTGGCATCGAGCTTCCTCGCCTCACTCTGTCCTGCTACACTGGGTCTTGCCTGCTGGCAGCAGAGGCCCTGGGGGAGGGCAGCTGGGCAGGGAGCCCAAGCCCAGTGGCCAGCCCACACCCACCCCATGCATAAATCTGGGGGCATGTGCCCCTCATGCCCCTCCCAGGAGTGCACACAGTAGCGGGGAGCAAGCCACCCCCTGGATGAGCTGCCCATGGCCCCATCCCACTGCCCACCCCATGCACCACCCAGGCTGGGCAGCAGCCCCATCCCCATCCCTCACTATGGGGGTCTTAATGCTTCTTTCAATGACCCCCCACCCCAATTTACCTGTGGGAACTGCTCTCCAGGCTGCCTGGTGGCCATGTGCTTGTGGACATGGGGCCCCCTGCTAAGCACCCTTCTCCCACTCCCCCAAGCCCCTTGCAGGCTGGAACTCTGCCAGCCTGCAAGGGGAACCATGGTTTCCCGTGTTTTTGTCCTTTAAAGGAAAAATCCATGTTTTTATCCTTAAAATGAGAAAATCCAGGTTTTGCCACATTTTTCCATCATGAATGGAAAACCTAGATCCCTGATAATTACACACACAAACATGTATTGTTGTGTCAAATCCAGCAAGCCAAAGTTAACAGGCATTGCACCTGATTTTGGTTCACCAGGCAAAATTTAGTTATAAGCATAAAATTATGAACAACTGTTTCAAGCACTTGAGCTGCACTTCCCGGCTCCTTTTTGTTGTTGTTATCGCAGAAGTTGTTAAAAGAGCTTTTAGGGTATTGTACAGGATGATTTCTTTCTAATTTGCAGAAGACCTGAGCAAGATGAGAATCCAAATAATGGGATGGCTGAATGCGGCTGCAAACATTTGGTAGCCTTGTTCAATAGGTCAAATTCAACAGTGAAGTGTCTTAACAAAATAGAAGCATGTCAAAGAAATCACAAATCCCAGAAAGCACCAAAGTCATAATCCAGAACATCTTCTGTCCTTCTGCCTTGTGTTTATAATTCAGCTAACAGGTTCAGACATGCGTTATGTAGCACTCTGAAATCTTATGCAAGCAACTCTACTTCAGCAGTTTTTGAACAACTTTGTAAGTGGACTTAGTGGTACCAAGTATTCTTCCCTCCATCCTACTGCCTTTGAAATGATACTTTCCTAGTCCCTGTTGGGAATCTGGAGCCTTATTGGGATAGACACATGTTTCTTGCCCTTGTATCTGATGAAATTTAACTCCCTTCAAACTCCTGCTCCTTTGGCCCTTTTGAACCTGGTGGCTAGGGACAGACATTCAAAAAGCCTGAGCTTGAATCGATTCAATCTTTGCAGGTTAGTCTAACCTAGCTAGGCTGAACCCGTTTGTAACTGGACAGACATTCTGAGGAAATTCAGGCACATGCCTGCAGTGGCTCAGGCTAGAAGGCAGGAGGTGCTAGAGCAGCCCTCCAATCTTTCCACAATTCAGAGCTGAGGCGGGCATGGCTAGGCCCCCACAGGACTCTCTGATTAGGGAGGTCTGCCTGCAGGTTCCCAGGCTTTTCCCCGCTGGCTGATCAAGGGGTGGGAGTGTTGCCAGGCCCCTGCCAGCACTCTGAGACAAGGTGGGGTATGTGCAGTGCATCTGGTGATGATACGGAGCTTTTCAATCTCCCTCTCTCTGCTTCTTTATGCTGCCTGCAGCAAACTGACAGGCAAGCAAGCCAGCATGGGACTGATAACAGTAATGATCACCTCATCAGCAAAACAATAGGATCTCTCCATTACTTCAAACTCTTCTTAAACAGTTTACTGGTTGACCTGTTGATTAGCTCCAAATAGCCTTAGGTGGTCACTGTGCTGTCTGCCTGTCCCAGTGAATTGGAGAGAGACACACACAGAGACATCTCTCAGCATTAGCTAGCAGGGCTATGCGAAGCTTTGGGTGCTGATCTGATTCAGAGGAGATTTGGCCTGATTCGATTTGGAGGAGATTTGGAAAAGATTGGGAAAGCTTTGGAGATTTGGGCAGTCCCTGCTCGCCGTTGTAAGGAGCTGGACCCGGACTCTGTGCTGGTAAGTTTGTGTGTGTTGGGGGAGGGGGGGGGTTGGAGAAGGGGGGAGGGGACCATGGGGACCCCTGCCAGACTGCGGCTCCCCTAGCCCCCCTGAGCTTCTCCCAGCCCTGTCGATAGCCGACCCGCCCGGCTCCAGCTCC